TTGCGGGGACACGTCGTCATCCTCCTCACGTCGTCATCCTCCTCATCATCAGACGGGCCCCCCGGGATCACTTTCCACGAGCCCGCCTTGGCGCAAATTAGGATTTGTGCAGTTTTTCTATTTAGTCAGCAATGACAGGGGCCCAAATGAACTCGGGGGGGAAAGAAGCTTGACGTGCCCTTGCTGCTCTTCGGGAAACATGTCCCGGGGCACAGCCACCGTGATGTCATAGGGGCAATCTTCGTCCCGGCGGGCCCGCTGCGCCTGAACCCAGAAGTGGGTAATCACCGCCTCGACCTTGTGCGTTGAGATGTTCAGCCGACGCGCCGGTCGCGTCAGGTCCGTCCACAAAAAAATGATATTGACCTGGCAGCGCGGTGTACGTGTACGTGTGCAACACTGCAAGGACAGTTTTAACAGTGACTCAGACATGACACATGACATGAACGATGTTTAAAAAGAAACGGACAAATACACTACATGATGCACGCTGGCCTCCAGCTTTGGGACCTTGCCGTTGGTGGATGACTGCAACACTGCTCCCCAGCCCTGCCGTGAAAATGCTGGTCGCAATGTGCGCGTGGGCTCTTCGTGTTTCAAGACAATAGCTTTTGCGTCCAGGAACATCTTCAAGGCTTCCGGCATTTCTCCTTGGGCTCCAATATTGGGGACCCCGCCCTCATGCGACACCACCGACGGTGAACCCGTCCAGGACCGGCGTGGCATCTCAACATTGGCGCAGGGCCTTGAACTTGCTGCGCCGGCGGCGAGTTGGCCTGCTCAGCATCGTCGTCACCCCTTGCTGGCTGGGGTGACGACGGGCTCGCCTTTGCCGTTGCGCGCCTACCGGCATTTGGCTTTGGTTTGGCTTCGGCAGCGCCCCGTTTACCCATGGCTCAATTTCAATGGCCCAGTTGACCACTGACTGAGTGGCTGGTGTCTGACTATCAAACAAGCACTATGGCTGCAAATGGCACAAAACAATTCGCCAAGTGTAGGCTACGCGAACGCGGGGTGCGCCTGTCTGCCAGTGAAACCCCAGCTTCTACAATGCACGATTGGGAAAATGTATGGAGAACAACATAACCGGTGAACATGTTACTGCTGTTATTCGCTTATCCCTGAAGTCTTTCCTCGTGCTTTTCTTGCTGCTTGCTGCTGATTCCTGGAGTCTTTCCTGGAAACGGCAACTGGAATGAACCAGCAGCGATTGTGCCCTGAGAACTGCAATGCGCCAGCGACTGTGCCCTGGAACTGGCATGCCCCAGTGGCTGTGCCCTGCGAACTGGCGTGCGCCAGAGGTTGTGGTTGTTGCGCCCTGAGAACTGGAACGCGCCAGTGGCTGTGCCCTCAGAACTGGCATGCGTCAGAGGTTCTGCCCTGGGAACATTTATTAATTTGTGGCCGGCCACCTTTCTGTTTTACTCTTGGCGCAGGCAGGCATTGCACATCCAAAGCGTGAAAAACACCATTGCGTGATGACAAGTGGCTCAGGCAATGCGGGGGCAACAACGACTATATTGTATTGGATGACTTCCCTAAATATGACAAACATGACACATTGTAGCCATGGAACTGCCCTCAAAGTCAACCATAAAAAGATTGCAACGCAGCCAGGAGCACTCTACTGCACACCATTCCTGTGAAAGCATTTCCGCTCAGCGCTGCCGATTGGTTTTCGGAAATGCACCAATTCACGTCCGTTGGCAAGCCCTGCAATCTGCAATCTCAGCAAATCCGAGGCTGCGAGGTGGCTGCGACCAAAATCCCAAAGAATTCCCGCGCGATCGTGCGATGGTTAAAAGACATGTTCAGATTGGTCCCCCACACATCGACAATGGGCGCGTAGGAAATGGGCTTTTGTTCTCTTCCCTTTGCTTTGTCAACAACTCTTTGCAAAGCTGCAATCAAATGATTCTTGACTCGCCCAGACACTTTGAGTTGGTCAAACACGCGTTGTGAAGTCAAACAGTCGTGATTTTGCAATTTCGAGCGCAATTGGCTTCTGGCGAACAAGGCGCCAAGGCAAGCCAAGGCAAGTTGCGATCAGCAGCTTCAGACAAGTTCTGGCCACTGAAGGTTCCTTGGCTGCCCAAGCACCCAGTCGACCCATGCGTGCAAAGGCCATCATGCTGCTGCTGCTGGCGCGGTTTTTCCCATTGCTCAGTCCACATCAGCCGGCTCTTGTGTGCGGCTGACAGCCAGATCCCATGCTTTTTGGTGCCTGTCCCGGAATGACAGCCTGAGAAAGCTGTGAATGTGATCAAATTGAAAACTCACTCAATTCCCATGCAGATGGGGCACGAAGACCCCTCCACCCACACCCCATTTTCATCCAACTCGGCTTGAACGCCATCTGGCGCAACAAGATCTTGATCCGAGCTTCGGAGCCCTCCCTTAGTTCCCCAAATCCACGCATGCCTTAATGGGTGGGTCATTGATATAACCTCGTGATTATGGACGGAAAGATTACTTTGCCGATAGGCAGGAAATCAGACCGGAAATGCGAGACGCTCGGGTTGCGCACATCCGTTTGACGACTTGGTGATCAACTCGAGGAAGATCTCTGATCTCGGAGATATTCGAGGAAAAGGTGTTGAAGGAGAGCGGGCGAGAAGCTGGCACTGGGTCAGCGTTGACCAGGCCATTTGGTTCCTGAAGGAAGTCGTAGGAATGGAGAATGCGGAAAGAAATTGGACTTTCTTCACTCCGGCCATCAAGGCACTCCCGGCTGGCCAGGTGGAGGTCATGCTGATGGCTATGTGCGATGAGGTTGGAGTTCTCCTCAAGGACTACACCTGTGTTGGGGCAAACCTCCATGCAGAGCCGTGTCAAGAACTTTCCAAAATACATCATATGCTCAAGAGCCATCGCTCTCTTTGATGTTGCGAATTATTTGAATAATGTCGATGAGGACCTGGGTGTGCTTGTATTCTCCCGGATGATGATTTTTGGCTTCACCTTCTCCGCAAGCAGTATTGGATCAAAATCCCTTGTGGATCGATGGAATGAGGTTGACATGGAAAACCACCTGAGATACTATCGACTCTGGGCGCAGACTGGAATTCGTTCAACTCAATGTCGCCAAACTTCTGAACCGCCGCAAGGTTGCCCCGCAAAAACCGTTGGGCAGTCTCATCTTTTTCGCACCACCAGGAGGTTGTCAGCCAAAACTGCTTCAATACTGGGCCTAACTTGGCCATCCAGTGGTCTGCGCAAAACCCAGCAAAACATGCCCCCGTGGTGGTGATGATCTTGGGCGCGCGGCAAAGCGGAACATGGGCCGAATTGGTAAGGTTTGAAGGGCCGCCCAATTCCTTGTCCAACGCCTCTTGAGCATTTTGAGCCGGGCTGACATGACCCTTAGAAGCTGAATTTGACGCTGGTCGCTTTTTCAAGCCCTGCTTCGCCTGGGACTTGGCGCCCTTTTGTTTGCCACTCTTTGCCTTGACTTTCTTTTTGGAGTTCTTCATCGCCTTCCTTAGAGGTGGGGCTTTCACAGCAATTTGCTGTGCTGCGGGCTCATCATGGGGGACAACCACTGGACTCTCTTGGCCTGTTGCGGGCCCTCCTATTCTGTCAACCTCCTGCTGCCAAGCAACATCCCAGGACTCCATTGCAACCAGCCACCAAGCTGGCTGCAGGACTGAGGAACTCAGGGATATTCCGACAATTGAATTACCTTGTAAACTGGGATTTCACGCATGGCCAAAAAAACAACTCTATAGGGAACTTGCTAAATTTACAATGCTCCTCAAGGAGCCATGGCCCAGAAGAAAAAACTCTATGAGGCCTTAGGGAGCTCGTGGTCGTCCGTGAACTCCCTAAGAAAAACGCTGAGCGGGATTTGTTTAGGGAGGGTTGTTGATTCAGAAGCTAGATCTCTGGCCTGATTGACTCCGAATTTCCTGGGTGCTCCCAAAACCAAACCACGCAACTCGGCCATTTTCCGTTTGATCTACAATCCACAAATCCCCTTTGTGGAATGCTGGCTGTCGATGCGGTCGAACTTGTCCAGGAAATCGGATGCAGCGACGAGCCGCGAGCCAAGTTTGTTTGCAACGACTTCCTGCAACGTTGTCCACAGCAATGAAACATTTTGAAGTTGACCCTGAATCATGCCCCAAATGAAACAATAAACAAAAAATACTAAACTCGGCAATCAGTCCTTCTCATCGTCGGCCACAAAAGCTATGGCTGATAGACCACAATCCTCCCCACCCAACCCCACCCAACCCCACCCCACCCCACCCCACCCAACCCCACCCAACCCCACCCCACCCCACCCCACCCCACCCCACCCAACACAACCCCACCCAACCCCACCCAACCCAACCCCACCCAACCCCAACCCACCCCACCCAACCCCACCCAACCCAACCCACCCCACCCAACCCCACCCAACCCAACCCCACCCCACCCAACCCAACCCCACCCCACCAACCCCACCAACCCAACCCAACCCCACCCAACCCCAAACCCAACCCAACCCAACCAACCCCAACCCCAACCCACCCCACCCCACCCACCCAACCCACCCCACCCAATCCCACCCAACCCCACCCAACCCCACCCAACCCAACCCAACCCCAACCCAACCCACCCAACCCCACCCAACCCAACCCAACCCCACCCAACCCCCAACCCCACCCCACCCAACCCAACCCCACCCAACCCAACCCCAACCCCACCCAATCCCACCCAACCCCACCCAACCCAACCAACCCCACCCAACCCCACCCAACCCCAACCCCAACCCAACCCCACCCAACCCCACCCACCCAACCCAACCCAACCCCACCCAATCCCACCCAACCCCACCCAACCCCACCCAACCCAACCCAACCCCAACCCCACCCAACCCAACCCAACCCCACCCAACCCAACCCAACCCCCACCCAACCCCAACCCCAACCCAACCAACCAACCGGTTGGTTAGTTTCGAGCAGGTTTCTGGCAACCGACCGCTGCGACGCAGCCCCGAAGCTCGGGCTCCCAGCCATCCAGCCGCGCCACCAGAGCTCGCAGGCCCGGATCCCCCGCGATGCCGCCTTCGGCGGAAGTAAGTCGCAGGAGTTCTGCAGCCCAATGAGGGGGCTTGTTTTGGGGGGACTCTTGGCTTGCTTGCTTACAACTCTTTGCAACTTGTTGTTTGCTTGCTTGTTTCTTGGTGGTGTTCTTGAACTGCTTGCTTGCTTGCTTGCTTGCTTGCTTGCTTGCTTGCTTGCTTGCTTGCTTGCTTGCTTGCTTGCTTGGTTGGTTGGTTGGTTGGTTGGTTGGTTGGTTGGTTGGTTGGTTGGTTGGTTGGTTGGTTGGTTGGTTGGTTGGTTGGTTGGTTGTTTGTGTGTTTGTTCTGTTTTGATTTGTTTTTTATTTGGCAGGCACTGCTTTTAGAGGGAACCCGCCGCTAAACAACTGCGGCAGTGAGCAAACTTGGTACGGACGAAGCTGGGATGGGTTCCTGCATTCAAATTCGCAGAGTGCAGTGTGTTCTGTTGTCTGGTGGCATTAATAGGAAACCAAAAGGCGGCGTCGGCCAACCAGCTGCGCGCCAGGGGGAATTGGCAGGGGCTTTCCCTCTTTTCCCTTGGATGTTTTAGAGATCAAAGCCAGCAACAGCCATGCTCAAGACTGTGCCGAGTCAAGAGCTGCCTGTCTCAGACTGCTGGGGCTGGTAAGGGCCGTGTGGATAATGTGGAAACTGTGCATGGAACTAGCACTCTTGTCCGAGTCAAATTATTAATTTGTATTATTGTTTGCATTCAATGTGGCTTCTACGAGGCAACGACTGCAAGCATGGTCTTGCACCTTCACGATTGGATATGTGGTTGAATAAAAGTCACTACAGATTTGCACTGGTTTGCATCCAGCTGGGCTGGAGTAGCTATTACTGGTCTCTGTCAGTTACAAATGGGCGCCCCGGCATGTTTTCTTTTAGCTGGCCAAATAGCTTTCCCTTAGCCAAGTTGGGCTGGTGGAGATTCCCTTTTTCGACCTGAAGATAAAATTGGTGCAACGTGTAGTCTGATGCTGCGGCATGGTTGGCAAAATACAAAGCACCGGTGAAGCCAGAGATAGCATGAGGGGACCTGAGCCCCGACGGTCATTCGAGCGCCTGTGTCGGCGCACTCCACCTTCACACGCCGGTGGATCACTGCCACATCCTGCGTTGGTGGCGAACCAGCGGAGAAATACTGTGGATGGACAAAATCCTACACCACTTTGAAATCATGGGAAACCATGGTTTGTTGGATTTTCCAGGGGATCATTCCAGGGTTTCTTAGGTGGTGCAGGATTTCGTTCATCCACAGTAGGCATGAAACGTGGTGTAAGTCGAATAAATCCTCTTTGACTCACGTGTAACATGAATGCACGCACTGAGAAAACAACTTTCTAAGGATGTCCCGTCAGGTTCCCTGGCAACGACCAATGGTAACTCCCTCAAGGTGGGGTCAGTGCCATTCTCTCGACAACGGCGCCTCTTCCAGCCACGCGACACGGCGCTCCAGGCTGTGTTGCCTGTCAAAATCGGCACGCACGTCAACCTCTACCGGGATACACGGCATGCTCTTGCGAAGTGGCAGGTTCACCGACATGAAGAGGCTTCCCGGAGTGGCAGGGTGGCCATTCCGGGCCGGGAGCCGCGGGTGGCAGGGTGGAATCTAGAGGGCTCTAGGGCTCTAGGGCAGTTCGCTGGATCGGGCCCGGATCAGGCCCAAATATTCCGCTGGAGCAGCACTCGGATGGCAGTCGGATGGCAGTCGGATCGGCCGGATCGTGCGATGCGGCTGCTCCTGGCAACCTGCTGATTGGGTTCTCTGAAAACTGTCTACCTCGGGCCCGAGTCATTGCAATTGGCATGCGTGCTGAAATGCAAAGGGTGAACTATGGTGAACTACTCCTGCATGCTGCGTCGCTTGTTTGGCTAGCGGCCAAACAAGCCCTGCTGCCTCGCTTGATGCAGCCGGCAAAAAACGTTCAGTTCTTGTCAACAGCCTCCTTAAACTCCAACTTCAAACCACCAGTTAGAGGGAGGCTGCAACGTGACATTTTCTCAGGCATCCCGAATTTCAGAAACAGCTATGCAAGTCTCACACACTGCAAACGCGAAAAAGTCGCCTACCCCTTCCTTGGGCTCCTGTCCAAAAAGGTTCTTTGATCGTTGAAGGGACATCCTCAAAATTTCCTACATGCTGGTTTAAAAGGACACAAATCCCGGTGATTTGAGAACCCCTCAAAAAAGTTCTTGGATCATGAAAGGGACATCCTCAACATTACCCATTCATGCTGATTCAAAAGGAACCCTTCCCAGCGATTTGAGTTCAAACACTTCGGCAAATCGGTCGCGCAGTGGGAAGCCACGGTGGGATCCCGGCGAGGTGCCGCCCACTGACGTGTTCAGCTCGCTGCCTGCCTGGCACAGGGAACCGGCACAATCCTCCCCCCCAAAACAAAACAAAGGGGCTGTTTGACTCGCAAAGGGAGGCAGGTTGCATAGGATGCATATACGGTGCATACTTATGTATACATATTATATAATTATGTCTATATTCATATATATATATAGTCATGTATTCATTTACCACGGTTCTAGAACTGCAGCACCCCTTTTGTCAGATGTTTGAAAGGGACCCAAAAGCAAACCTTTCAGCCACCCATGTCGAAGCTGCGTGGCATCGGTGCCTGGGACGGAGCTGAGACGAGCTTTGCAGCCTGACGGCATGGCTCGTGTGCAGCGGTTAGCTCTTGCTACGGGGCCGGCTCCTACCAAGCTGGCTATTTCTGAACCGCCCAAGGCTAGGCAAAGGTTCACTAGAATAAATCATCTGCATGCAGCATCTTGAAAAAAACACAGGCAGGACGCTGATTTCAAGCAACGCAATCAGCTGTCCCAGATTTCTGGGCACAAGTTTGCTACCTTTGACGCGCATCACACTCGCAAAACAACCACAGCCGTGCAGGTGAAACATCTCCGAAACACATCGCCCATCGCTGCAGCCCCACTCCGCCCCGCCTCCATCACGCCGCCAGGCGTCCCTCTATGGCTCGTTACGGCACGGCCGTGGCTTTGGAGCCAAGCTGCGGGCGGGTTAAGAAGCGAAGGTCCGTGCCGATTCATACATGCAGAACACCATTGGATATGATGTATGTAAGCTCCATGCATCAGAGTTACAAATTGGGGTGCCAATCTCAAGTACAATTTGGACATAGCGAAAGTTGATCATGTACATTGGACACACTCCTGCGACTTGTAGTCACTCTACATAAGCACATGCCTTTGCACGCCCTCAAGTTCAGCCTGCCACGCTCCGGCCTGTGAACGTGAGCCTGGAGGCTCTTCGCTGGTTTGAGGGATTCTGATTGTTGATTGTATTGTCCTTGACCTGCAGCTAATTTGAGGCTTTCCACGCAAAAACGGTGGAAGTCTCCGCAAACCGGAAACCACACTGCTTTCCGAGAAACAAGCATATGCTTAAAGGCCTCCTGGGCATTCCACCTGTTGCACTTGAACAAAGGGGTCTGCCTGCTGTGAATCATGCTCGTGGAAAATCATGCTCCGTGGAAATATGGCTCTGTCAGGTTCTATGGGGACGGGTCAACTTCAAGTAGGCACGACCAAGCAATCTATGTTATCAAGGTCTTGTTAACTATACATCCACGGATTCATATTGGCCTCATCTGGAAAAGAGCCAAAAGGGACCGCTAACTACTCAACATACAAGGCCTGCTGAGAGATGCAAGCAAGCGCCCGCGAGCGAAACTTGAGATGCTCATGGTTCCCAACACCTTTTGGGGTTTACATGCTTGCCTGCTGAGGTGGATGGTCAAAGCAAGTCCGCGTTGTGGGCCCGCAAGCCCATCCACCCGCCCTCCCACTTGGAGGCTCAACCCACTTAGTGGGATATAATTGCCACTAGATGCTAGGTCCTCCAGTAGAGAGGTCAGAATAAGGGTACCCTTTTGTCTGCAATCTATTTTAGTAGGGAAACCCTCCCAAAAAAAAGTTGAAAGGGCACTACTGGGGGACCTAGGATGTGAAGTCCCGTCAAACCTCCAAGCACCAGCCCTCACCGGCGCCAAGTTTTGCCACCGTCGCCGCATCCTCGGGCGCCTTGCTTCACTTCAACTTCCTGCCGAGGTAAGGCCTGTGGTGTCGGACAAGGCTAAGACTTGGACCCAGGGCTGTGGGAAATGGAATCCACTTCTGTGATACAACAGAAAGGCCTTCCCAAAGACTATTTATTCCCCCGGAGATTCCTGAAAATATCGCAGAAGCAGGGATAAACCCCGTGATCTCCCAACCCTGGTCTCCTCCCAGTCTAATCAGCTGGGGTGCGCCCAGGGTTCAATTTGTTACCGCCGAACTTGCCTCGAAGGCTCACTTTTCTCCAGCAACCGTATTCAGTTTGGAAGGGTGACCCAACATCCAACCAAGACTCCAATCAAGATCTGGACAAGGGTAGCCTTCTTCGGATTGGTGTGAAGGGAAACCACAAATAAACTAGTTTGGGGCACCCCTATGCTATGCATCCTCCCGAAATTCCCTTTGAGGGAACCCAAGAATTGGGTGGGGGTGGGGAGTTGGTTGCCGTGCCAAGGTTTCAGAATTGCTTGAGCATGCCTTTCGTAGCCCACGGGGTATCCAAACCAATTTCTTGCGAAACTTTGAGAGCATCTGGCCAGTTTGAGCAGTAAGGATACTGTACGTGCATTGAAGTGAAATCCTCAAGTTACCCTCCAAATGGTGGCTTCACGGGAAACTACCCCCAAAAGCAATTTTGAGACACCCTCAAAAAGCAACCCAACTTCAGGGAACCTATTCAATCACCCCCAGTTGTTCGGTGGCACCCTTCAATCGACGGAATGAATCAACCGTCCAAAAGAAATGCCAACGGAAATGGCTCCATGTTGAGGTGGATGAACATCCATTTGCCATCTATTTTGATGTTCATCAGGGGTACAGGGTCTTGACCCACAGCCAAATGGCTCCAAATGCCTTTCTACCGGGGTCACACTGCATCCAACGGCGGGAACTGGCGACTTCACTCATTGCGGCCGAGGCGGCAGGAGCAACCGCGTCTTCGCGCTGATCGTCAGCGGCGTAAAGTAGGGTTTGATGCAGCCCAGGCAAAATGCCTGCAGATGGTACCACTGAGCTGCAACACTTCTTGGCCCTCCTTAGGCCCCCTCCTCCCCGAAAATTTGAACCGTTGAGGGGCAATGGGCAAACAAGCACAGCGCCGGACAACTGGTCCAAGGACAGAAACCCTGAAAGCAAAACCATTCGTTTAAGCCATCCATGTTACCTGAAGGCCATTGAACACCAAGTCTTTCAGCCACCTGTGGCCGTGGACATTCCATCACGGCCCCAGTGGAATCCCAATGACCCACCCTCACCTTTCAAAAGCGGTCACACCAACCCGTTCAAAGCAGTTTTCTAGGGGAAGACTCCCCATGCTATAACCATCATAAACCCAGCAAAAACAGCTGGTTTTTGAAAAGGGTCGAAAAGCATGGGGGATCAACCCTTAGAAGTTTGAACTCACAACCTTTGTTTTTGACCACCTCTCCCGCAGCATGTTTTTTGTTTTTTGATTTTTATCGTCAAAGAAGGCCGTTGGTTTCCTTTGGGTTTCGCTTCGAGCTATTTTGCGAACCAGCCAACATGTTTTTTGTTGAGGATGCTCTTTCTTGAGCTGGTTTGAAGGCAAACCAAGGGAAACGGCCATCCCATTTTGACACATACGCGTTTTGAGAAATGAGAAACCCCCACTTGGAGTCGGTGCGGTGGGCCTACGGAAACCAAAAAAAACGAAAAAACAACACCGCCTTGATGCTCTTCGCGTCGCTCTGCATGACGTTGCGCCTCGACCTCCGGTGTCACACTCTCTGGGGCATGTCCATTCCCTCAATCTGAAGAATTCACCGTTAACTATTCTGGCTCAACTCCGAGGCCCAAAAAATATCCAGCCCCAACGTCCAAACAAAATGCATGGGTGCATATATCTGCAAGTTCTACAATAATTCCAAAGCCCGAGACAAGAATTGAATCCGCAAGCAAATCAACTAAACACGGTGAGCTAGCTCGTTTCAACCCTGCATCGGTGAGCTCGCCATAGGTTCGAAAGCTGACTTTCCTTTCGGTTTTGGCCCGCGGTCCACTTCCAGGATAGCTGCCTATGGAGTGAAGGGGCCTCCAAGGCGAAGCAAAAGGCGCCACTGGAGGTCTGCCGTGTGTTGACTTCTGGTGCATCCAATGTTCGAAGGATTCCTCGTGCGGCTAGGTTTAACAACAAAGACACAGCCAAAGAAAGCCGGGTCAAATTCGCGGACTTTACTTGCGCAATGCAAAAGCTCATCCCGCAACGACGTTGCGCAATGCACTGGCTTGGCAAGAACTGAGCCACAGCGTGTCCCTGTGACCTCTGGGCACGTCAAAATGGGGCATTCCACCACCTGTTGTGACCACGACCCTGGGCAACACCAGCAACACCACTCCATCATGTTCACAATAATCCATCCTGAGGCTTGGCAATCCACCACACCCAAAGCCAAACTCAGACACCGCACGAAGAGATACAGTGGTGTGCTTTCAAGGGAATAGCCAAAACCCTTTATTCTTAGAGGATCCTCCTTTCTGGGCGGACATCCCCAGCCCGGGAGGGCGAGCCATCGTTTTGGCGACCAAGGCCCACGCGTGCAGTCGGGCCATGCTGCGGAGCGCCCGGTAGGTCAGCTTCAGCTGCTCGAAGCAGGGCTCCGTCGGCAGCTGCACCCTGAGACAACGAAGCGGGCCACGCAGCCACGTTGTGGGTAAGCCAGGCAACCTGCAGCCTTATCTAGGTCTTCCAGTAGAGAGGTAGCGACCAAGGGTGATCCGGAAACATGGGTTTCGGAATGTCATCCATGTGCATTTGCAAGTCTTGAGTTTGGTTGGGGGGGGTGAAGTCCTGTTGCAATGGTTTGATTCATGGCTGGTTTGCTTGCAAATGGGAATCCATAGTCTCTGCCTCAAAACTTGCCTCAAACTTGGCAACCTGTGAACGGTTTGCATGCTTTGGGAAGACTGGTCCGTGAGGATCGCCTTTTTGACTCGGCTTGCAATGGCTCAGGCGGCTGTTGGCCATTGCCCCTTGCCCGAACTGCGCACTATGACCTCGAAGACGCTGGATTCGTCTAGCCCCCTCCCCTGCGGTACCCGCGAGATGGTGGACTCCTCCAATGGTCCAATGGCTGGCCGTGGGCTTGAAAAACCCAAAAAAAACACGCTTCTTCAGGGGACAAAGGCCCCGACCAGCAGAAAAGGGTTCTGAGCCTGTCTTACACTGTCTTAGCCACAGGGCCTGTGGGCATTCGGTGAGAAAGCCCCCCCTTTGCTTTGTGGGCCCCATGTGACTTCTGGCCGCCGGAAAATCCCAAAATCCGTCCTCCGCCTTGAGGCCCTTGCCTTGGCTGCCAATCTGGGAGAAAAACCATTCCCCAGCCCAAGGACCAGGCACCACCCACACTTGTTGAGGACACTGGTGAGTGGAACTTTTCAAAAGACAGGGGCTGAGATTGCCAAATCAAGTAGGTTGCAACTGCGTTTGCTGCTAAGCCGCTAAGAAATCCACATCACCCGAAAAGGCCCCTGAAATTCTTAGCAAAGGAGTCCTTCATCACTCGATCCTTCATCACCCGCGAGATTGCAGCCTGGTCAAGACAAGGATAAGAAACTGGCCGCCCTTTTGGCTTCAGCGAGTAAAAGCCAGCCCTTTTCAAAGACGAAATGGACGCTAAGACATTCAGCCTTCCTGGGCCTCGACCAGCCGATTTCTTAAGTCTGAGTGAGGACACTCCTTCGTCAGCCAGGTGACGGACGAACTTGATATAGCTGCCGCGGTCGTCCAAGTGAAGCGCAAGCTCCAGCTTCTTGCGCCGTTCCTCCTCGGCCCTGTCTCTCTCGTCCCCTGCTTCCCCTGCTTCCTCTGCCTCCTGGCAGGGTGGTGTCAACCTAGCGCCCTCCAGAGCAGCTGATAGACTTAGGAGGCGTTCATGGCAAGAAGGAAGAGAAAGAAGAAGAAGAAGAAGAAGAAGAAGAAGAAGAAGAAGAAGAAGAAGAAGCACTCCAACTAAAAACTCTAGCAATAAGACAGAAAGCATAGCAAGAATAACAAGAGGAACAAGAAGAACAAGAGGAACAAAGAAAAAACAAAAGAAGCTAGAAAAGCAAAACAAAGAGCAATAATAATGGACAAACACCAGGAACACGAACAAGAAGAGAAACTGAAGAATCAAGGGCGAAGACAAAAGGAAAATAGTAAGAAGAAAGAAAACTATCAAATGAGCAAGACAAGCAAGAAAAGGAGCATTCACGCAGGATAAGAAAACGGAACGAGAAGAACAAACAAGAAGAACAGGCAGCACGAGAAAAGTCCAAAAAAAGTATTCAGCTCTTCCTTTGTTCATGCGACATTTCAAGAGTTGTCAAGGCTAAAAGATGTCGCCAAACCGCAGCCCTTCGCATTTCGCCTCCCCCCCCCCAGCCCCGCCCAAAAAGCGGTGGCCATTCCTGCCTCCTTCCTTGCCTTGGCCCGGAACAGCTTGGCACCCGCGCGCTTCCGGGTGTCCACAAGGAAAGCGGCCACCTGTCGAAGACCCATAGGGCGATCGCACTTTTTTACCCAGTGGGCTCGCGATGACATGGGCAAAGAGAGGTCGAGTTACTCGTTTCCCCGGGCGAAGCATGGTGACTCAGTGATGGGATCTGGCAGCCCAAGGATTTCGTCAACCTGAAAAAGAGACCCCCCCAAGAAAGGAAGCTATTTCATGGCCGCTGCAAACAACCTTCGTGAGGTCGCTCCAACTCGCCCAAATATATACGTTTACCTCCCTATGTCAACGCGGATTTCGCATTGAAAAGGGAAATGAGAACGCACTCGTTTCGGAAAGCGGCGGCTGTGGACGCACTCGTTGGGGAAGTCCGCATTTGATTGAGGGGCAGGTCTGTCACACAGGTTCTTGTCAACGTCCTAACGGGCTGCTGCATAAGAAATTTGCAATAGTGGGCCGCCCCGTCTCTCACCGCGCCTTGGCATCAGCGCCGCCGCCCGCAGTAATTCGTACCTACTTCGAGGCGTAGAGTGCGTTCAGGTGGAGCTTGCAGTAGGCCTGAGGGAGCTTCGGGTTTGAGCAACTCTCTTAGACCCCATGGTAGGTCGGAGAACCTGGGGCTTTGTTTGTCTCCTTGTCAGGTTTTTATTTTTTCGCCTGCCGTTGCAAACATCTCCGGGCGAGTTGAAGCATCCGCTGTCTGCCTGGCCCTTGGTTGTTGGACGGAAAAGGCCGGGCCTCCTTCTGGGCTGTGTTGCAGGGCAGCTTGCAGCCCTTCTTCTTGCAGGTGCCGAGGTCTGGGCAGTTCCCGAGCTTCTGGACCTCGCGCGGGCCGTTTGGTTGAAGCTGCCCCTTGCAAAACATGGAGCCCAAAAATGGGGCCCGAAAAGCCGCTTCTACTCCACATGCATTTGCTTTTGGGATCCATGTTCATGTGCCGGCGGGGTATATATACCCTGCTTGGGCTGTTGAGGGCTCCCGCATTTAGACAAACCCATGTCACCCTCTTGAGTGTTTCAACCCGAAGAATCCACAGACTTGCTGTGTTGGCAAGCTTGATCCTCGATCCTGCACTACCTGGCACGAAGGAATCCCAGACGAAACCGAAACAGGGCCGACTCCTGAAGGCCTCATGCGTTCTTGCACCCATTTGACAGCTGTACCAGTCAAATCTGTGAAGTTGTGACCCCAAGTTTCCAGTCATTCACAAAAATTAGAGTCACCCTCGCCAAAAGGATCCGATGAGTAAGTGGTAGGGACACGTGGCTGTGGCTTTGTTTGACTTGCCGGCACTCCTTGCTTGTGGTTTTACAAAAAGGCCAAAACGAAAACCTCCATTTTTGCTGGGGGGCTAAAAGAGTCGCTCGTGGAACAGATCAAGCATGCCAAACTACAAACAATGAGCAAGTCAAAGGCCAAAGTTGATGACACCGGGTCAAGCTCAATCATCCCAATGCTTGCTGGGCCGCTTGATTTGGGTTCTCGATGAAAACGATCTGGTCTTTGGCGAACACAGAGGTGGTGTCAAGGAGCCGGGGGCTCATGATGGCCATGATCGCTCCTCGCTGCGCAGATTGCGCGTTCTCCGCCTTGCGCCAGTGCGAGCAAGCCTGGCCAGGTGCCGGGAGTCGGAAGCGGAGCTGCCTCTTACTTGCTTACCGAAGCTGCTTTTGGGGGCGCGTGAGCTATGACCCTTGCGACCGGCCCTACCACACAGCAAATGAATACCAACCAGCTGGAAGCCCATGGGCCTATACAGGCAGGGGGCACCCGGTTGTCAACCAGGAAAACTCAGTCAAACAAGCTTCCTGTGCCTTTTTTCGGCCGCCGAAAAAGACAAAAACAAGAGCACCAGCCCCACCTTCCATCACAAATGCAGGACCATGTTGCAGGGCTCGGGCTGCGCCATGTCAGTGAGCCGCCATTTCAGGAACGCCTCCCCGTTGCCCAGCTTTCCCCCGCCGTGTCGAACACAACCCCTACGATGATGTTGTCCTGGCGGAAAAGGCAGCTCCAAAAAACGATGTGAACTCGCAAGAAAAGGACTCTGTGCACTTGGATGAGACGCCTGGCAGGTGGCGCCCATTGGCAAAACGGTGTCCTTCGCCTGGCGGTTTTTGCCGCTGCAGGACACAGGGATGTGCCGGATTTGCACCAGCCGCTTCGTCTGCTTCTCCATCTCCGCTTCCCAAACCTCCCTGGGCGTCGTCCTGCCAAAAACACCGCCTTCGCCCGCGGAATCCAAATTTGTCTGCCCCTCTGCCCGTCCTGTTCACGATGCTCAATCCCGCTCCACGGTCTCTTTGGGTGCCTCCGCCTCCGGTCTGGCCTCGGGCGCCTGCGGTTTGGCCTCGGCCGCCTTGGGCGCCTCGTCCGGCGCTGGCATAGGCTCCATTGCACCCCCCCCCCCGGCAATGGCAGAGCTAGCTGGCGGGCGCAGTGAGCCTTTGTCATCGAGCCAGGTTTGGTCCGCGATTTTCACAGCCCAGCCGCATCTCTAGGGGGGCCCTCGGGCACCTTGGAAGAATGGAATTCCTACGGTTTAAACGTGGCCCTGGCCCCAGGAACAAATGAGAAGGGAGCGGGCACAAGCTGGGCAGGTGGACACTTCAGCAAGCAGTTGTCACAAGTTTCCCTGAACAAACAACATGGGCAGATCGGCGGATGGATCCTCGCGAACAGATGGTGGAAGATGTGAACAAAAAGTGGGAACTAAAATACCTGATGGGGGCAAACAGCTCTTCAAACACATTGCTTGGTCGAATGTCGGTCTGATTGGGGATGGAGTGATTTGCGAGATTGACGGCTGGGTGCTAGGGGGCGTGCAGTTGGGGTGCTGGTGCAGGTCACGTTTTTAAGTTCCCTTTCCATCCGGAAAAGCTGAGGCACCCTCAGAAAAATGCAGCACCGCAGCACCACTTCCCTTTTTCAGTACTGGGGGACCTAGTCTTATTTTGGGGTGCCCTCAGTCCAATTTCCAAGATGACTTGTAGGTCCGCGCCCTGCACCAACCACAAGCTTCAGCCATTCAACGCAATGCGTGCCGCAAGCTGGACAGTTTGGGTGGGATTCTCAGGAGCATGCACCTCATCCGAAAAGACCTGGAAACCAGCAGGCTGGCTAAACCAACAGGTCGGTTCGTAATCAAGCTATCTGCCTTGGCTTTGGGACGGAAACCGAAATCCAGTAGCCAGCGTACCACGTTTGGGGTTGGTTTGAAGGGACACCAAAAGATAAACAAGTCTTTGGGGGCGTCCAAACCCTGTGACACACCCATTCGAATATTCCAGGTTGCCCATTCGGGCAAAAGCCAGGTGACGCCCCAGTGAAGTCCGAGTGGCGTCTCATCTTCGCCCCGGGCGGCCCTGAAAGGACCCACCTGGCCGACGATTCGGTTGGGAAAGATCGATGTCAGCATCCGGAAAACTCGATGTCACCGAATAACAAGGACCGCGCCGAAACCCCGTGCCAGCGCCATCGACTGAAAAAAGACCTGCGAAAACACCCATGGCCATCGGTATAGAAGGGGGCAAGTCGCTCGCTGTTTGTTGGTCATGAAACAACCATGGGACTTGTGCCATCTACTACCACGCAACAGATTGAACCGCAGACCTGATGGGAAAAATGGGCGCCATGCTTGCTACCTAAGTTGAAAGGGAATCTGGAAGAAAAGAAAAGTGCGGCTTTGAACAAGATAAGGCAGTCAAAGGCACCCTGTGATAGCCGTTGCTGCGAATGACCAAACACGGGTCCTTAAAAGGGCCTCTGGAAATCGCCGCCATGATTCATCTTTCACCCCTGTCGCAGGCCGGAATGCCAACATCCTTGGCAATAAGGCGCACCTAAAAACGAAAAAACCCGGTGGGCAACCCACCAAAGGGGAATCCGGACCGTTTCAACCAGAAAAAACCCACTGGGATGGACAGAATGGGGGATCGAGTATGGCCCAATGAGTTGGGTCGTCAGCTTCCAAGCCTCTAAAATGGGCCGCCCTCCGATTTAAACAAGATATTCATTGAATATCTTGTTTAAATCGGAGGGCAATAATCACGGAAGTGGACCTTCCGGAGCCTTGAGTATAGCAACATCATGGCTTTCACTCGTTTTACCCCCGAATCGGTGAGATCCAAATCAAACAAATGCCAGATTGTTGGGGTGTCTCAAAATATAGGACTCGGAGCCATTCCCAAAATGGGCTTTGGTGTACTGTTGGTCTCCATTTCAAACCGTCGAACAGTCGGACTCCATGGAACCCTCTGGCCTTGGCAAAGCCAACGCTCAGGGATGGCATCCAGCTTGCTCGGAAAAGAGCCTGGAGGGAACGTCGAAATCGGACCGAATCGATTGGATTCGAATCGCGCTTCGCGAATCGATTCGGATTCGAAGCCCGCGGGGGATTCGAAGATTGGCATGGAAGCTGGAAACCAACCATCTGTTTCTGCCGTGTGACCTCCATTTCGGCTTCCGTGTTCTGAAGAGGTCTTCCCTAACCCATGTTACAGGGTCAGCATGTAGAGCGCCAGTGCTCCGAGCAAATTTGGGGCTTGGCTGGTGGTCGATTGAACTTGATTGAAATGGTGCAGTGTAAATCACAATCCTCCCATCTACGATTGTAAAACCTACCAACAGGCCCCTTTTCTATCAGGGTCCAGTCAGGTTTGTTGCCAGTGGTGGGCGCAGGCTACAAATATGATCACCCCGGCTGCGACAAAGTTCCATGGCACAGGGAAAGGGTCAAAACCCAGAATGCCAAGCTAAGGCGCCGATGATTAATATTATTCCTAAGGAGCTGCCAGAGATGGAGGACACGTTGGAAAAAGGTGTCCATTCAACGAGAAGCCGCGTGAGTTGCGCGAGTGATGTCTGTCTTCTCAGCGAGGTCGCTAAATTTCTCTCAGCGTAATGTTGAGCAAAAGACTGTGTGTGCGAATGTTGAGGAAGGCCCCCGAACACCCCAGCGGCGAGAAAGTCATGATTTGGGCCCGACTTCGGGAGGATTCGCGGCAAGCTGCGGCCAAAACCCGGCAACGCGGCAATGTGTAAGGCAAGTTAGCTGGGAGGCGAGCTTCGGGCCTCACCTTTTGCATCCTGCTGGCTGGGATGTGGAAATCACTGAAGTCCCAAACCACTTGGAACGGTTGGAAAGGCTCCTTGCCACTTGGTCAGTGTTCGCTAAACCTGTGAGTTACACATATTCTTTCATTCTCATTCCGGCAAAGGGCAAAGACATAAGAAACGTTGCCCCAAGGCAAACCTGCCAAGAAGAGGCTTCCAGGAGGGAACCAAGTGGTTGCCCAGCCCGAAGTCGGCAAAGGTACCGAGTTCTGCACCTTCTTCAGCTGCGCTGAGCTCTCCTACGGCCCATCGCACAACAAGGGACTTCAAAAAAGACACACCGATCCTCAGGACCTTCTCTGCAGAAGCTTGTACAAAGCCTTGAAGAGGCCCTTTAGGCTGCAATGGATTCCCTTGCAAATCAATGCATGAGATCTCCTGCTACACACGTTTCATCAAATGCCCGGCCGTGTTGCAAGAGGACCAACGCTTGCATCCATGTGGAGTTCTACGCCCAGTGGAACAATCCTCCCAACTATTTGCCGGCTAAGCACTCAAGCAATGGTGAACTGCTTGGCTTTTGTTACACATTTGCAATGCATAACGTGATGTGCATTGCACCCACTGTATGATCCCTTCGTGTGTGCTGTGGGCATAAACCCTGGGTGGTGGCTCAGGCTCAGATGGTAGATATAAAGAGCCAACAAGGATTTGCACACACTCAGGTGTGCTTTGCGATTAACTTCACTGCATGGTTGCCTGGGGACAAAACATGCAACATCTTCCCGTTCCTTGTGTCAGCATTGGTTGTTCTTTGCATTCAACACAAACCAAACACACAAGCCGAGGAAACCCGTGTGCCCAGTGACCTGGGTAAAAAGGGAACAGCTTTAGGAACTGACTAGCAGGCCAAAGAACCGAGGAAACCAAGAAGCTTTTTGGGAGATCTGACCAAAAACAAAGTGTCTCGAAACAAACTAGAAAAAGGGTGGAATTCATGGAGCGCACGTTTCCTGGCGATGTTTGTCGCTCCTGCTGTGGTGTGAAGCCTCCGACAAATGGCGTTTGAACCTTTGCCCTGCCCTAAACTTGCTGGCGCTCAAAGAATCCGGGTTCCTCCAAGCCCTGAAAGCAGGTGTAGAGTCTAACCCTTTTGTAGGATTATCCTGGAATTCTGCCCGAAAAGGTCTAGTATTTGGTGATTTGGTCACAACATGGGTAGGCCAATCCATCAAGCCTATCGGAAGGCAGAGATCCCTTTTGTGACTGCAAGAAAGGACTAAGTCATTGCCCTACAAACACCCACAGATCTTGAAGAGCTCTTCAAGATCCCTTTGTGGCAAAGCTTTCTTTCCCATCGGAGTGTGTTTTTTTCTTTGGCGGGGATGAGAAGCCCGAATCAAGCAACCTGGTCAGTATGGCCGGGGCCTCCCAAGAAAGCGAAACATATTCCTGGAAACCATCGTCTTCATCCAGGATCACCAGTTGTTCTCGCTTGATTCTTTTGTAAAAATAATCGAACATCCACCGTATCGTTGTTGCACTGATTTGTTTGACCGTTTCAAGGCAGCAACACATCTTTGGGTTGCTTAATCTTAAGATTAATTAGTTGAAGGGCAACAAAGGAATCCGAGTGAAGACAACTCCAGGGGCGTCAACACCTTTTCCACGCTCTCAAGGCCTACGTCCAAGACATCATCCACCTTCAAGTGTGATGAGGTCTTTCCTCTCCGTGGATCTTGTCCCCACGAGACAGCCCACACAGCGCGATTTCCTCTTGGAGGATGCACTGCTTGGCTAAACGGGCTATGGAATGTCTGCTAAAGCAAGGCACGTTTTGGGGGGTGCTATGAACATCAACGACATGCAGCCAGACTCTCAGACCTTCCCAACTGAGACTCGCTCGGACCTGCAGTTTTTTTCCTGTAGGCTTCATCTGAATCACGGGATCTGCAAGTAAGGGACCTTTGTCACAAGTTTTACCTGGAGTCTCCATGACCCCTTAAAGCTGGGTGGTCATGACCCAAATCTTTCTTTTGGGTCAGAAGGAGACTCCAGGTAAGCTCCAGTTCATCTCCGAGGTCCTCATAGTTCGCGCAGTTGCATAGCTAAATGTAGCTGTCACGCCATGCGGCGCTCATTGCGGCGGCCTGGCCCCAGCTGCTCACCCTCGTGCAATCTCGTCCAAATGGCTCCTGAACGATCAAGATACAACCGGTGGTGTCCATCTGAGTCACAATCAAAACCCGGTATTAAAATGGTTGACCCAGAACCATGTAAGGAAATACAAAGGCCGCAACTGTTTATGGCTGAGATTGTCCCTTACTAACCTTCATCTACCCGGGTTTTGATTGTGGCTCATCTGATCTCCTTGCAAAAACACCCCGAAAAGCGTACACTCGGAAACACACACACACACACATCTGCATCACGTTCATCATCCTGCGCAGGACCCATGCCGCCTGATAGACACCCGAACAAGGAGACAGCCTGCACAGTCAAGAAACCCATAAAATACATGCAGGATAAACACAGTCCTTCATTTCTGTACGTTGTAGTCCAGCTACACACAAGTAGCGGCAAACCCACACGTACACACAAAATCAAATTGCATCTTGATCAATCTGCAAATCAACAATCATCAGTTGCGTTGAGAAGGAACGAGCTTTCTGCGGACTACACTATTCTGGGCAGCTTACCTTATCATTGACAATAAGACTAGCATAACCTGCAAGCAAGACACCTCCATCATGCGGGGATCCAAATACCCTTTGTGAGGTCGCTACAATTTTCTTTGTAGACTAAACGGTTTTTCCATTGCACCTGTGTAAACGAAACTATAGATGTCGATGACATCAGACTGGACGCAAACCAGTGGTTGACGGAGCCTGTACTTTACATTCACCTCATTCATGTCAAACCTGAATTCTAGAACAATACAATACACCATTCATGAGACAGACAGACCCTCAATGCCGAACAAATCAGCATGCATGTCAGCACGAAGCACGCAATGTCCAACCACATGGGTGGTTTTAGGTTGCAGCCCATGCGGACATCATGTACATGAGGCACGGTCGAAATTACTTACGTGCGGCCGTTTCGCTTAGTTTGAGAGTCCCCTATCGTTTTCCAGCGGTTCCATCGCTTTCCAGGGGTATCGCTTTCTTGAGAGTCCTATATCGTTTGCCATGGTGTTGTGCATTTGCACAATATCAATGAAACACCGAATACTAAACTCGACAGAAGTAAATTTGACGGTACTTCACATGGGGCTTTGCGTCCGCCTATCATGTTGGAGGATGTTTCCTAGTAAACACCGATGCCACAATGCCAGCCCCCGCCCCGCCACGCCTCCTCGAGACTTCAGCGCTCGCATCACCTCCTCGCTGTAGGCGTTTGATTCCGGGCGCATGCTGCACCTGGGCCAAATATTCCAGGGGACTTTCCCATGTTTTCCAGGGATCTTTCTTTCCAGAAAACCATCAACTGGGGAATCAACCCCTAGAGATATGGGCTTTCCCAATTTCATCCCCTCCCCCCACCCCCGAACCCGCCCAACCGCTATCCAACACGGCCAGGCCTGCAGCAAATCAGTTCGGGCTCAGCCTCGGCCAAAGCGGCATGATGCTTAAAGAGGAATGCACAAGCACTGAGTTTGAATCATGCAAACTCAGTGCTTGCGCATTCCTCTTTAAGGGGGGGGGAATGTGGGTTCCCGCGAAACAAGTCCTCATCAGGATGAGCCCTTTGAGGTGAAGCGGTCCACATGTTTGAACAAACCAGGCCTGCAAGTGCGTCTTGAATCCATCTTTGCAACTTATTTAGGCATATGAAACATCTGAAACATCCGCGCTGAAAATGGCACTCCATCAAATCGGCGATCCAACAAGGGCAATTCTGAGCTTTTCTCCAAACAAAGGAGACCCCCCCAAAACAAATGTGGTTTCCCTCTGAATTCCCTTTTCAACCCACCCCTGTCCGCAAACAAAGAGGTATATACCCTCTAAAGCATTTGAGCACTCTTGGGTACAGAACGGCACCATCCTCCCTCCCCGCGCCTTGTACTGCTTGCCGTGGAACGGGTGCGTGTGACTGGTGGCGTGTGGGCAGCGGCAGCAGCCGCTGCCGAAGCGGGGCTTGCGCTCTGCCTGGATCAATCCGAAGGGATGGCATGGAGGTTACCTAGGTCCTCCAGTAGAGAGGTTAGACTAAGGGTACCCTTTTTTCAGTAGT